ATTGCTTATTTAATAAACCTTTATTTACATCATGGATTTATTAAATAATCTAGATTATTCTAATACATAATTAGTGTATTTAGTGTAAATTAATGATAAAAGTTGTTGTTTTAGGTCAGATTAAGAGTATAAAAAGGGATCCAAAACATACATATTTACAAATGTATTTGTTTCCTTGGGCCAGAGTCTTACTCCAACTTCATATAAAACAGCTTTTAAAATATATTATTATTGTATAATGTATTATTCCTTAAGAAGAAGAAAAACGTAGGTGTGAAAAGTAGGTACCATTCACCAATTCGATATAGATATTTGACAGACTGATTGATTGTCGTTGGCACTAAATAGTAATTTAACCAACTCATCAGTCATATGTCATACTGTGGCAACAAAAGTAATGATAATATTGACATAGGTACAATAAAAAGTTATTGCCTCTAGATTATGACTTTAATAAATAAACTGTCTGCAAAAACTAAAATTTTAAATGGATTTATTTTTAGAAAAATGTCTCACTGTACATCGTCTTAAAACCGATACGTTCATATGTATCACTCATGTGCCTAAAAATTGAATACAGATTTCATATACTATATTATGTATACATTTATAATATTTTAATACAACACAATTTATAATCGGAAAAGTAGGAGGAAATGGTGGACATGTTAGAGTGTAGATCGTAGACGGATACCGAAATATTTAGATTTCTTTGAATAATGGAACATGAAAAAATGATTGAAATATTATACCAATGTTATCGTATGATATATTTTGACTTTAATACTGGTTACTTATGAAAAATACCAATGGATAAATCGCTGAAATAAACGTTGGACCCTTAATGGAAATTTAGTCCGTAACGTTAAATATTTGAACAAGATCCAACAATAAAATATTTTCAATCTGTTGAGCTTTGTAATATACATTATCATTTTGTTTCAACGCGTCTCTGTATTTCGGAAGAGATCCCTATAATATTATTGATGTTTGTCGCTGTTGGTTTTGAATTGTAGACGTATCGTTAGCGATGTGCGTGCGGACGTTAATGATTTATCGTCGGTCGTAAATGCACTTACTGAGCATATTATTATAACCATGGTTTCATTTAACGCGATAATATATATTTATACAATTTAAAAATTTGTTAACTCGTTGGCTCGTTATGTACAAACTCACAACGAAACTCGGTGTACTTACGAATTTAACGCAACATCGGTTTTTGCGTTATTATTCCTGGAACTCCATCATCATATTATTGTAACTACATTTATGAATATTTGTACAGCTATTACGTGGAATTAGAAAGTTTTTTCATACTATCATTCACCTTTTACAGCGACGTATAAACCTGCTTCAAACAGAAATACGTAGAGGTTTTAACGAATCCGTGTAACCTGCGTCCTCGAGACAGCAGAAATTTTTTTTCAAATTAGCAATGATAACTATATACGAGTATAAAGCTTGAAGTGACTTTTACGAAAACAACAACTTCGAACAACAAACAAAAAATTACATGTAATCTAATTTATTTCGCGGGAAACAAACGCGTTTCTAGCTCCCAATCCCACACGGACATATTATTATTTTGAATCATTTGAACATACCGCACGTATTAATTGAATGACTACAACGGTAATTTATGATTTTTTTTATAACATCAGTTCTAACCTGGAACTAAACATACTACTGTATGAGTCTATAAGAATTCGCTATAAAAATTCAACATCAAAAATCACATTAGTATCTAGAAACTATTTATTTAAAAATATATTTAAGTATAACCTTTTGCACTCAAGAATGAATTAATATACATTTTTTGAAATTCTTAATTTTCTCTACTTGCAGTGGGAAACTCATAGAGTAGCTATCTATTGAATGTATGTTCGCATTAAATGTTAAAATTGTATTTTTAATAACGTTTATTTTAATTTTGTATGCGGCCCTCAATGAAAATCTAATAAAAAATTTGGCCCACGTAATTAAAAAAGTCGCAGACCCCCCGGTGAAGACTATAATAGAGAATAATAATAAAAATATAAGCGATTGTCACTGCTCCACGGTTAAATGTAAATACCGCTATAAAACACATTAGAGCTAATAACTATGTATACTGTACACTTAGGAACAATGTCATAACGTGTATACTAATAATGTAAAATTCTATTTGTTAGGGTTAGGTTAGGTAATAATATTAAAATCCTTCGAATCCCATACTCCACACATTACGGGTCACGGATGGATATTATTACGATAGTAACTGCATCCGGTGTTTTCTAGCCCATCGTCCAGCTGTCTTCAGACCGTTCCCCGTTTTCGACTACAGAAACATTTTAACGAAAACCACATCATTTCTCGCTCGCTGAAAAGGCTGCAGACTGGAGTTTTTATATTATACTTCGTAAAGTGTAGCGATTATTGTGCACGGTTTTCATTTCTAATAATGGTGTACGCGATATTAGAAAAATAATTTAGTCATTTGCATCTGCAACTTCGGGCGAACAATAAATTACGTGTAATCTAACATAATTTATTTTGCGGTAAGCGAACCCATTTATATAGCTCTTATAAAAATCCCGAACGGATATATAATGAATAATATGGACATACCTAGCACACGTATTCATTGAATAATTACAACGTTTATTTATGTTTTTTTGTTTTTTTTTTGTCAGTTCTATCTGAGTACTAAACACACTATCATACAAGCAATTATTTAAGCGATTGTCCCTACTCGACGGTTGATAAAAGCTGATACTGCTCTAGAACACTATTATAGGAACCTATCTAATAATATTATCTATCAGATACTGCAGTGAAACTTTCTAAATAGTACAGCCGACTTCCATTAAACAGCAGTTTTTGTTTAAAATATTTTTGAAAACCAAACCAAATTAGATCCTAATTTATTTAATTCTTTTCGACAAATTTCTCTATAATACACACTTTTGTTGTTGACTTCACGATTCTTCGTGATAAATGGAAGTTTCATATTGTATATTATGGTAGCTTATACGATTGAAGTATTGACATCCGGAGTTCCCTGCAGCCCGGCTTCCAGCCGTCTTGATACGGTTTTCCGTGTTCGACTCTAAACGTTTCAACGAAAACAATGTCATTTCTCGGTCGCTGAAAAGTCGGGCCATAGAGTCTGTACATAAATCTCGTATAGGACCGATGCATCCGGGTATTTTCTAGACCGGCGTCCGGCGGTCTCCTGACCGTTATCCGTTTTCGACTAAATAGTATAAACTACATCGTTTCTTGCTCGCTGAAAAGGAAGCATTATGTAGTCGGTATACTTTGCTTCATTAAGTGTTGCGATAATTCTGTACGATTTTCATTCCTCATAATGGTGTACGCGATATTAGAAAAATAATAATATAGTTATTACAGTTAGGTACCTACTTATTTTTTTTTCATGATAACACTAGCGTACGATTAAACGTCGTTATTGTCGCTATTCTATTCAAAACACATTCTCGATCGTCTCACTCGAATAACTGACGGTGACAGTGAGATTCAACATACGTATTATTGTTATTATCGTGCCGAGGGTGTTGCGCGTGCGTTTGTTACCATCGCCTTTAAACTTTAATCAAAACGTCAAGAGCGTATGCTTATTTATTATAAATTGTTTTTTTTTTCTATTAACTGATGCGGAGAAGTTGTGTAGGTAAATGGACCCACCCGCACAGATTATTACAGTGACAGAAATCATCAATTAGCTTGATGAACCGATATATTATATTATATAAACTTTTACGTTGCGTGTTTTTTCCCTCCAAATTGTTTTCGGTCGCAATAACGATTTTCCGTATTGTATACATTTTAATCTACTCAACAGAATGCGAAGATACCTCGATAAAGACGGTGTTTGACACCGACTCAGATGGACTACCCGTCAAAGCTGACAAATTTTAGTAAATTTACACAGTAAGTTTTTACTTCTTGTGCTAATTTTGAATATTAAACCCCTTTTGTTTCACCCATTCGCGGTTTGAAACAGGTTTGAACTAAATATCAATTCTAAAATTTACTCCGACACCCATCGCTTACAAGACAAAATGATATTATTATATTATATTAAAATGATCTGCTGGCGTCGGGTGTTTGAATCGAGAAAAGTCATGGGCATGCACGTACAAAGGTTTGTATGTCACTATAGTCTTGTTGAAGCGTACAATGTCAACTTGTGTTGAAAACATATTTTAATATAAGAACCTTTAATAGTTGTGACGGCATATTGTTTTAAATTCCGGTCAGTACACTAGCAACATTGCTATTGTTAATAATTCATGTTCGATTGAACCGCTGAGAAAAACGGTTAATTGTAATCGGTTAAATAGTTTGTAAATTTAAAAATACCGTCTTAACAAAACTAAAAAATAAGCGACTTGCGTTAAAAATAAACTTATTAAAGTTATTCATTCATAATTCCAGGTAGCTGCATTTGTTAATTTCGTGTTTAGACAATCAATTTCTAATTATGTTAAACAATTATATTTACTGCAGAGAATGATGATTGGGTATCACACATGATAGGTAGTTAAATTATATTATTGATCCATGCAAGTTGTTTACCTATCATAATATATTCATTATTTAGGACCTATAAGCCTTTTCTCGATTGCGGTATTCTGCAATATCGGTAAATTTTAGATAGACGAACAGAATAATATTATTATTATTTTGAATAAAATTATTTGCTCTATACGCTCTATCTACCCGTTATTCAGTTAATATGCTAATACTATACATTATCGTAAATATTGGAGCACAAAAATAAACGTTAAAAGTCACTATATATAATATTCATATTATGATACGAGCATTATAAGTTATAATGACATTACATACACGTGTGGTTCAAAATATTATAATATTATATGCACTCTAATTGGATGTTAAGGTAAAACGCACACACAATTTTTAATACGTCATACTTCTCCTACTCTACCACACGTTTAATAATATTATATATTATATATTGCTTTTACCTTCAACTTTTGTCCATTGAGGGCTTCGAGTTTGTTGTGCCTCTCCGCGATTACGCAGGATATTTTTAAATACACGTAGACCACGACTACCAGTGGTAAGAAGAATGAGCCCATTGCCGAGAACACTACGTACACCTTGTTTTGGTTATAGGTACAGCTGTTGTTATTGTGTCGTCTTTCGTCGTACCTATATATACAACAATAAAGCCAATGATGAATTTCCGATGTCTGTAAGAACTTTTTTTTCTTGTCAAGTACCTAATAACTATTTTAATTTATTATTTTAATCAACGCTATAAATGTAATAAAACGTAATGGCCGTTGAGTTGGGTCGGGTATTTTGTAATATTATTAAAATATTATATACATTGCATCAGTACTCTACGCTTTATTCCGCTAAAATTTTGTTGATTGCGTATAGTATTATAAGGCACTTTGTTTTATTTGCTGAAACTTTATATAAGTATAGGTACTGTATTTTAAAACTCACTTAAAAATAATGATTTCAGCCATTAAAAAAAATATATGATATCAAAAGTAAATAACTTTTGGAAAATATTTTTCTATTCTCTAGTATAATAATTAGTAACTTAAAAAAATCAATTAAAAATAATAAAATATAGGTATATAAAAAATTAAATTGAATTTGAAGTTCATATAATGTGTATTTTACATTGTTAAGTGCTAAAGTACATAAAGTAGGTACTAGCAAAGTTAGGGCTCCTTATTACGTGTACGATGTATTTATAATTCTAATTTAACTCAATATTATTTTAATATTATTTGCATTCTCAATATTTGTATTTTAAAGTGTGTTCCAACTGTTCTGAGTATACAAGTATTCACAAGTTCACAAATTAGAAAATATTCAATGGTCCTAATAATTATAACAATACATATAATATAGATAGTTAGTATATCATTGCGATTTTGAAAGTTTTTATTTTTATCATTTGGTGCATCTATAGCGGCATACCAATAAACGTACCAAAAGTATAGTGCCATACACAGTGCGCCTATAAAGGATTGGAGAATCGATCAATATGAATGATGTTTTCTTTAAATACTGTAAAATTTTCGTGCATCACCCAGATGTACCTCAAACAATGGTTCAATAGTCAATAATAATAAAATAGTGTACGAACCATCCAAAAAGCGGAGCGCATGTTATGACCAACGACACCAACCATACGACCAGTATCATGAGCGACGCCAGTCTTTTTGACCTCCGTTTTTTTGAGTACCGCAGAGGTTTGGTGATGGCGAAATATCTGTCGATTGATATGGCGCAAAGGCTGAGTATCGACGCCGTACAAAGGCACACGTCCAGCGAAACCCAAATGTCACAAATCAAACGTCCAAAGGTCCATTCGCCTGACGATTATTTAACAGCAAATTAATGACAGTACAAAAAACAACACTGATGCCCTCGTGACATACCTCTGACGTGATAGACGACGGCTATTGGCATGACGAACGTTCCCACCAGCCAATCGGCTACGGCCAATGACGTCACGAAGTAATTCGTTACCGTCCGAAGTCGCCTGGTCGTAAACACGGCGAAAATAATTAAAGTGTTGCCTACCTGTGAACAAAAAATAAGAAATATAAGCACGGCGATGCGAATCGATGTTTACGCAGTAACACCTGAATGTTTGCATTTTGTATAAGTACGTGATTATAAACGGATCGTCACTTCCATAATAGTAGTTTCGTTTAGTGCGCTGCCTACCAGTAATCTCCAGAGAGTTAATAATACAAAATAAATAGTATTATTAGTACAATTAAAAAGAAAAAGGACATTTTAGTATTGTATTATAAATAGTAATTGTTATTACGAAGTGCGTTATATCGTCAACTCTTGGTTCATATGCAGACGTTCTCAAACACATTAAAATAATTTATTATTTCAAGCTGATACTTTGAGAACTTAATACTGGTATTCTCAAAACGTAGTTTTATAAATATTTTATGGTTTTTTGAATGGAGACATACAATTTTGATTTCACATTTGAGAAACAACTGTATAATATTCATATTGATTTATAACGAGCAGTTAATTAGTTATAACATATAACTTATAAGTAAGTTTGTACAAGTGAAGAAGTGGACCAATTATTGTCCGACTCACACAAATCTGATCATAAAAACCTCAAATACTTATAAATTAAAAGTTATAACTTATAATTAATTAACTTCTCATATAAAATTCGATTTTAATATTATATTTAAGCCCTCGGAAACACATTTTGCTCAGAAATGTATGCTTTCATTCAAAAAATGAAATGAGTAAAAATATATTTTTTCCCAAAAATATTTTGTAAATTTTTTTTAAATTATTTAAAAAAAACTACCTTTTATCCGATATCCGTAGAGCTTTTCAAACGTATTGCAATATATACTCGTGTCGGTGAATATTTGCGGTATCGAAGTTTTTCCGTCCCCCGGGGGGCAATAACCTACCGGTGTAACTACAGCAATAACTATCCCGCCGCCTCTAGATTATACGATTTAACCAGAGGGGTTGGCGGAGTGTAGTCATTTTGACGGTGTACAACGATGGTAACATAATATTAAGCTGCACGCTATTTTTAAGCACCTCGGTAAACACTTACCGTGGTGTTCGGGTGGGCCCAGCGTGTGGGCGCCCGAAGGAGGTTATGGCAGCCCATTGGCAAATAATAGTATTATACAAGTGGACAAATTATACCTCCTAGCCGCAGAAGCGACAGGTGAACGTTTGCGTGATATAGCGATAATCCGTATATGACTGCGATTTCATAGCAAATAATAGGTGTTTAATGATAATTATAAAATGTCTCCGCTATATAATTATCGTGGAAGAGAGGCATCGACGTCAATTGAAACGCCTCTATGACCTAATTATTTTTAGATCATAAGTACCCTGCACTAACAAGCTAAAATTCTCCAACAATTTTTTATGTACCATAATTAAACCAACTTTCGGTACCCCTACCGTGGAATGACGATAGTAATATTACAATCAAATAACGTACTATGATAACATTGGTTTTGAAAAATATCAAATTTAGGAAAAAAAACTGTAATGTCACTTTGTTGTATAGAAGCTGATGAGTGGTGTAGAGTGTGCCTTGCCTATTTACTAGGGTGATAGACGTGTTCAATTTTAATTCAATAATAAAACATGAATACCAAAACTATAAATTCGGAAATTATATTTGTCAGCCTTGATTTTAAAGTTTATTTATTATTTATTTATATTAGGTTAGATTTAGTTATTTATTTTTTATAGTTTATGACTTATGTTGAACAATTTGTTTTAGTAAACACCATATCATTCGATATTAATATTTTGTTATACATTTTAATATTTTAATATCATATATCTCTTTATTAAATCGTCAATAATGACGTGTTTTATAAAATTATATACATTAAATCATGAAATAAATAGCTCAAAAGTGCCAACATATTTTTAAAAGATGAAAAGGATTAAAATTTGATGAAAAGAATAATATTATAGCCATGAGAACCTGTGTTGGTAGATATAGAAAATAGCCGCTGGCTTATTATAGTATCGAAGGAAGGAACATGGAAATAAATCAAGGTAAAGAGGTCAGAAGCATCTATGGAGCATCTATCTTATTTATAATCATAAATGAGGGATGAAATAAAGTGGGAATTTTTGTCGTAGAACCGGAAGGAGAGAGTACGAATTTTGAGTGAATTAAAGATAAGGGAGTACTCATGAGTATGCTGTAGCTTGTGAAAGGATGTGACTAAGACAAACATTTGTTTTGGACTCGTTTTAATCTAACTGATCCTCTAAAGATATGGATGCCACACTACCTTGCCGTACTCTACAATAATCCACTTAAGGCCAAATAGAGGGTACAAATAAATAACAGTGTTAAACGTTTTAGGATATTACACTTGATGGAACCCAGTTTAGAACATAACCAACTGTAGCATTGATGTGATATTCAAAATTAAGAGCAGGGATGTAGGGATGTAGTGGAATCATAGGTCTTTGATGTAGGTCACTCGACGGAGTAAGGTATCGTTGAAAGAGTAATTAAATTTCACGCAGCATTTTTCAACATTAAATATCAGGCCCTTGACCCAACTTTCAAAGATGTTAAGCTCTGATTTAAGTACTAAACAATCATTAAATAAAATTAAAAATATAATGAATGAAATTTTTTGGCAACAATGAATTCAACTTAGCGTACTGTTACTAATAAGCTAAATTACTTTAAAAACAATAGCAAACTCCATATCATGAAAATGTGAAATTGGCTAATTAGGAAAAAAAAGCTGATAAACGGTCTTTACTCTGAGTTGTTTTTCGTGTGCGATATGTTATCATTGAATTCAAATTTAATGTACTACAGTGACTTATTCAAGGAGGAGATACACTTACACCTAAAAGTATACAGCAGAGCAGAATCTGCTTTACCTCCCTTTTTTTGAAACTTTGCTGGAATTTTCTTCTTTGGACTCCCTATACATGTTTTCCTACAAACCACTTTAAACAAAATGAAACTGAAGCTTCCCTCTCCAAAAAAAAGCATTAATATAAAACCTATAGTTCGTACATTTATTGCTATGTTCAGTATCTAAAAATAAAATAACAAACGATCACGGTAAATGTAAAAATTAGTTGAAAAACCATTAAAAGTAAGAGTAGAAGACAGAGTAAAACATTACTCAGAAACAAATATCCTGTGACCTCACTCAATACCCATACTGCATACTGATAAAGAATCTATAATATTATGAAAATTGTTTTTGTGTCGTTACTCTTATACTCATGTACGATTACTGTAGTCTATGTATTACTTCTATAATTTTTTTTATTGCATATTATTATAACGTATTCATTTTTTACTATTTCATGGTTGACAGCTCTCTTCAAATGACGAACAAGTAGTAGGTGGAAAATAAAAAAATTAAATCGATTCGAACAATTAATGTTCTCTAATCCATTGTTCGGAAAACTGGGATAATTTTAGAATTCTACTAAAAGCGTATTGTTTTAAAGCGGTTGTGGTGCGTCATGATAATGTTAACCCTTGATATGCAGGTAACTAGAAAATATTTGTTTAAAATAACTTCTTGGATTTATAAAAAAAATCATAAATGTACATATAAAATTCATTATTTTGGCATACATTCGTCGGGTTATCATAATTTCAAAGGCGTATTTGTGTTATTCGCGACAAACGAAGCGAATTCAACGAGAGAACAACGCATTAAAAAAATACGCCATAAGTCATGTGTCATAACGGTAAAAAATAGCTATATAATATATAGGTATATATATATTTATATAATAAGTAAATAAAACGGATGGACGAGCTTATTTCGATATAAAATATAATATGGTTCTGCGTTAATCGTCTTTTCCAGTTCAATGAAACACGTAAACAATTTATTCTCGATATACGTTCACGAAATGTATCGGCGGCACCCGAAATGCCGCTGTATCGTTCACTCGTATTATTGTGTCCACAGTCTTCGGATAACTCGTATAATAGGTATGTTTTATTACACAATAGGTACTAAAACTAATTGTACGAGTGCATTACATAATAATATCGTATTAAATTGTTTTTACATCAGTTTATTTTATTGAAATATACTTGTTAATTGTTCACTAAACAGTCATTTAAACGTTAAATAGGTATTACATGAATGTGCAAAGAGCAGAATGAAATGATAGTTGAGGCTGAAGGAAGAACCGATTTAGTGGCTGCCGCTCCGATTGACTGAGACACGTAGATGCATGCGACAGTGGACCACGATTTAACTTTTTACTATTTTAATTGCAAGGCGACCATAATTGTATTCATAATAGTATGTATCTGTAATCCGTATATTATCTGTGCATGTAAACATTAATAAACCATGGCAGAAGAGGAGTAAGTATTGTTGACACAGAAACAGAACCTTCTCTGCTGTCGGTTAAACGACATTGTAATTTAGACGATTACGTTATTTTTTATAGGCACTTATATTTGTATGTGGTGTTTAAAATGACTACTTATAGAAATATTTTAATATAGTATGGCAGTGCCCCGTAGTGTCTCTCTATGGACAGGTTGTACTATAAATTATAACAGTACAATACATAGAATCATAGTGAAAAAATTACAACTATCGAGGATTGAGTCAACCTCTCGTTAGAACTTTCATTTTATTACACGATAAAAACAAAAGAATCATGATCAGAGCTCGGGACTTCAAGCATTTTGCTTATTTTTGTGGATTGACTTAAAATGAAGCAGAATGCTATGGAAGTGTATGTCATGTTCAATTATGAAATTTGAAAATGCTTTTTTTGCTTTTTTCATCGATTTTTCAAAAAAATGCTTATTTCCTGTTTTTCTGATTATTTTTGCTTTTTTAACAAATTTTCTATTTTTTTTTTATTGTTTTCTATTGTCAAGTTGTTTTTGATATACTTAACATTTAAAATAATTCTTATCTTATCTACGTTATCTCGTATTTAATTAGTTAATTTTGGTTTCAACTATTTGCAAATATCGTTTACATTTTATTCTTCGAAAAATCTCACGGAAAATCCATAAAAACCTTAAG